GCTGTATATCTACAGAAGGAAGAGAATGATTTTGAATACGAAATTTTTTATTATTACCAACGCTATTTTTGGTCGATACTCGTGTTTGAAATAGACGCACATTTTTTAAGCAGTGTCTATCAGGTCCATGAGCCTGCGCACTCGAGTATAATTAATTAAAAAAAAATGTGTTTCTCCATTTGTGGAAGAAACTGCCGTCTGATGCGATGTACCCTGAACCGTTTCATCAGAGAGAACGTTAGAGTACAGCACGATTCCTTTTATAGAATACATATCCCCTTCTTTCAGATTTTCTCCAAAAGCCTATATCTTTTCGAAACAAAGCAATTTCTAAAGAACTAATTGCTAGAGTTTTAATCCGATATTTTTATTATTTCAAACTATACTTTTAGAAGACAGCCTTGGTTGAAATAGAGGCACAGGTTTTTAAATAGTGTGTATTACGTTTATCAACCTGCACACCCAAGAAATCTTATTAAACAATGTATGCTCTCTGTAGGTATAAATATATTTGAGCACTCGGGGAATGTTTATCTGCAAATAAAAAAAAGCACAAAACGTCTGACATTGGTCATAGCTCAACCTCTCTCTTACGGAGTCTCATGTCCCACCTCACGGGACAGATAGCTATCAGACAACAGATTAATAAGGAGCAGAATGATCACAGTAATATTAGATAGCTGCTCACAATTTCAAAATTCTAGCAAAATCAAAAATTAAAAACAGACTTATAATTGTTGACGCAATACTTATTCAATAAATAACCCATCTACAAGTAAAAACAATTATAACTCAAGACCCGCATCTTCAAAGATATATATATATATATATATATATATATATATATATATATATATATATATATATATATATATATATATATATATATATATATATATATATATATATATATATTTATATATATATATATAACACTTCCCATCTGACCTATTTCACAACACTGACTAGTTTCAGACGGAACTTTCTCCTTGTCTGGGACGAATTAGCATTTGTAATTTTGGAAAGTCGATCACTAAAATTAACTTACACACACACACACACACACACACACATATATATATATATATATATATATATATATATATATATATATATATATATATATATATATATATGTATTTAACAACAAGCCCTCATTAAAGACGACACAGACAAAGTACTGCGATGAAGCTTTTATTTAATTTGAGTAAATGTTTCCTTTCTGGACACAAAGTGTGTAGAAACTGCCGAAATTTCTAGAATTCCGAGCGCTTTCGGGAATATTTTAACCATTATCAATGATGCTTTTATTTTAACTTTTTAACTGGATGCATCTGTTGTTTGCATGTATCAAGAGTTATAGGGATGTTTCATTTTCGGAATACGTTCAGCACATTTTGGCAGTGTTCGTAGTTAATATTACTGTGTGCTGACTTTTATCGTTTTTATTATTAAGACTTCCATTGTAACTGATGTAATTATTTATAAATTCAGTTTGATCAGGAAGTGTGTTCCTGAAGTGGGATTTGAACTCGTAAAAATGTGTTTTTTTGTAGTTTTGGTTTTGCAGGTGTGTTTTTATTTTTGAGGATAAGTTTTTAACTTTTGTAATAGGTAATTAATTTAATTATTTCGTTCGGGCCAATATATATATATATATATATATATATATATATATATATATATATATATATATATATATATATATATATATTATTCCGAGGAATTGAGACATGCTGCATGGACAACCGCCGATCTTTCATAAAGCGTTTCGACCTGAACAGGACACTGTTCCGTGTATCATATACGGAAGGTTTCGGGAACCAACTTCCTATTAATGGAAGGATTCCGGAGGTCATTCTCTATGTGGAACTGACCACCGGCATGAAGGCACGAGGGCGATCTCATCTTCGCTTCAAGTACGTCCGCAAAAGTAACATAACGCAATTGACATGGATATCAAAAGGTGGTAAGACGTCGCTAAAGATCGCTCACGCTGGAAACGGGATTTACATAGAAGGCTGGAGCGAGGAGAGAAGCTCCGGAGGCTTGCGAGGTGAAGCTTGCTCGAAGAAAAAAAAAACGTCGACATGGTCGCGGGCGGTAGATCGTCTTTGTCGACAGTGTCCCTAATTTGTAGGCCTTTACAGCCATGACAGATGCTGCGCCGCCATCAGCAACTGAGAGATAACTTTTTGGGCGGAGATCCATGATCTCTCTAAACCGAGGGATGTCTCACACACACACACGCACACACACACATATACACACACACACATACGCGCGCACACAACACACACACACTCATATTGCTAAATCTGAAAGAAAAAGAAAAAAACCATTAGGCACTTAAACTTAATTCACATTTAAAATCGCTCCAATTTATTGGAACATCTTATAGTTTCATTACTTCTCGTATTTTATTTTTAATCATTTCCCCTCGAAGAGACGAGATAAAACCATTCGGATGCAAGTGCTTACTGGGATTGAAAGAAACAGAGAAATAATATAAGATCAAGATTCAGAAAAACGGGAGAGGAGAACTGACATTTCATTTAAATCATTGAAGATCGTAGCTGATATGAAAGTAGTTAGCCGAAAGAGAATTCTACTAATCTTAAATTGTTCAAGTCTAGGATCTACCATTATCTTCCCCACATGTTCCAGTAAACTGTGCTTTTACTCTGTAACACTCTACCTCGAGTTGTTCTTGGGTCTTGTACAGGGTGAATATCATTGTCAAAAATACGAGAAACATTCTTATACTATCGTATCTAAATAAAACTTTTCAGATCTCTTTCCCAGTATGCCATAAAAATAGTGACACAAGTGTATCTTACGTTGTTAAGATTATTTTAACTAATAATGAATCCTAATAGATCTTCCCGTTCTCTTAGGTTCGTTTGTCTGTTAAATAAATCCGCTGAAAAAAATGCATTCTTATCTAGTTTACTAGACGATAATGGTGATTTTCTAAGCTTAGCCTAGACGTGGCACAAGGCCGAAAGTATAGGGCCCACCATGAGTATCGAACTCACTACTCAGTCATCATTTTTCTAGATAGACAAGGTTGATAGTCACTACACCAGGTCGAGGTGCCTTTTCTTTTTAAGCATAGCTAAGATGTGGAACAAGCGCGAGAGTATGGTGGCATCCAGTGAGGATCGAACTCACTATCCTGCCTTAACTGTTCCAGCGAGACAACTCATTGCACCACGTCTAGACGCCCTTCGCTTGAACAGACAACACCAGTGAACTAGTTTGTGAGGAAAAAATCTCTAATCAACGAACTGTGGTAAGCTCTCCTTTGGTTAACGATTTAGCTTAGTCTAGCACAAGGTCACATTCATTTTGCACGCAGTGGGGATTAAATTTACCAAAGCAGTAAATTTGTCTTCAAGAAGAGCTTATTAACATTCTTGCCAAATTCAGTTGGGTCTAACAGAACGTCATAATTATACGACACCGATGAAATTGGTCTCTAAGACGAGCTTGCTCGGCATTCTTCGACAATAGACACACAAATCAATGAATTACAAAGGCCCGGATCTTTCTTTTGGCAATGTTCATTTAGACTTTTTGTTTATTGGTTCGCCACTAATTTTCATTGATCTTTCTTCAGTTTGTTCTTTTTGCTTCAATTCTTTTTTCCAATTTAACGTCTGAAGATCAAGCTCGCTCGTTTTGTTTTTTTTAATTTTATTTTACATGGCTGATTTGGTTCTCTTTTCAACGTCCTGATTGTCTAAGATTTCAAAAATTTAATACAATTCCAAAGGGTTAGTCATTAACGTATCTAGGTTCCTTTTTTCGAATAATTAAATTCCGCGAACTTTCTGAGATACACAAAGTGTCAACACTTCTCATTATACTTTCCTGTGTACTAATCGTTTGAACCAAATTCTTTGCTCTAAGAAGCTGTCTGTTAACTTCAACCATAGAGAAAAGTGAAGAAAATAAAATTAAAATTACAAAGGTCTTAATGAGAGTTCTGGCTTATTAAAAAGAAATCTATTGTTGGTTTCGATTCATTTGAATTCAACTTGTTCAACTGTTTTTAAGATGGATTTTTCTTTCTTTAGATCTTCATTTAACTTTGGAAATTCTTAGAAATGATTTCGATTAGTTTTTCCTGTAGCGTAAACACTTTTTTGTACTTTTATTTTTCTTACTCTCTCTTTGTAAGTTTCTGCATGTAATTTTTATTCATTTTTTTTATTCATACTTTTCTTTCTTTTTCTACATGTTTTCATTTATGACTTTCTTTCGTCCTGAAATGTACTTTTATTATTGTGTTCTTCACTTATTGAGAGAGTATTTTCCAAAACGCCTACGCGAACCAGATAGCCTGAGTGATTATTAACCAGGCTCAGATCTTATATATTCATTAGTTCATACCTACGGGATTTCTTCGGAATCGGTGAAAAGTTCGGGAAAAATCATGTAATATATTTACAGTCTGTTCCTCCGAATTTTGAGATAGTATATCGCAAAATGAACCACCTTTTTTATTTTACACACCCTTTCTTTCTTTTTTTTTTTTTTGTAAATGTTTTTTTTTTCTTAATTTTTCCATTTTTTTAAAAACTTTCTTAATTTTTTTTTTCCATTTCTCCCTTATTGTTTATTTCATTTATAATTATTTATTTAAAAACTATTTCCTTCATATAATTTATTTTCTAATTCGGTCCTACTTTATGTAAATTCGGATTTTTTTAAAATATTTATTTACATAATTTTATTTTCCATTTTTTTTTTCCTCCATTTCGTTTCTTCATTTTTCATTCATTCATTTTTATCTCTAGTAAATATACGTGTTTTATCTTTTTTTTTTCTTTACAAGTTGATTTGCTTATTCTCTTCACTACTTCATTTCTTAATTTCTTTCTTTCATTTGTAAATGAACATTTTAATCTTTTTGATTAATTTCATTTTCTCATTCATTTTTTTCGGAAATACAATTTTTATAAAACTTTCTTTAATGAATTCATTTCTTTAAGCTTTACCTTTTTTATCCGTTTACGTTCATTCTTTTCTTTCATCTTTTTCTTCTTTCCATTTTTCCTTCTTTCATTCATTCTTTCCTTTCTTTTTCATTATTTCCCTTTTCAGTTCTTCATTCTTACCTTTTTCTTTCTTTCTTTATTCATTCTTTCTTTTCTCTTTCTTCATTCTCTCTTTTTCTTTCTTTTTCGATTCTTTTTACCTTTTCATTTGTAAAAATAAATATTTTTATCCTTTTTTTCTGTTGCGTTTCCAATCATTTTTTCTTTTTATTTCTGTCATTTGTAAATATATTTCTTTCAGTTTTACGTTCTATTCTTTTTTTTTTACCCTCATTACCTTTTTTTCCCGCTTAATTTCTTTTTCTTTCTTTTGCAAAAATATTTTTTTCATGTTCTTATACATAATTTTCTTTCTCACTTGCTTGTTTTCGCAATTAGGCCGTTTTCCAATTTTGTTGTTTAAAAAGAATCCCCCGTTCATCATTTATTAGACTTTTCCAAAAGATCCAACGCTCTTTTTTCTTAATTAGCTGCTGAATACACAATCCGAAACTGCAAGAAATGTTTTGCACGCTTAATATCAGTCATTTTATTTTCTCCGTATTTTCTTTCATCTTTACACGCTTTTTCTCTCTGTATATGAAACAATTCTTTCGTCGATTCTGACTGAGTTTTGGCCATTTTATGTGTTTTCTTTTGTTTCATTCTCATTCCACTTAAACATTCTGTCTCTTTCATATTATAATTTTTCCTTCCTTTTAATAATTATCATTTTGTTACCTTCGTTTATACTTCCTTCTTATTTCCTTTATAAATATTCTGTTTTGTCTTTCTTTCTTTACGTGGTTATATTTTTCCTCGAATTTCTTACTTTTTTCACTCATTCATTCTTTTTTTTTTGTGTATATATATATATATATATAATCTTTTAGCATAATATTATTTTCTAATTCTATGCAGCTAATTTTTTCTTTTGTAAATATGATTTTTACCTTTTTTATATATAATTGTATTTTCTTATTTCTTTCCTTTCTTTTCCCAAATAATGAAGTCTCAACTTTCTTTAGATAATTTCCTCTTCTTTTTATATTTTTAATTTCTTTTTTCCTCCTTTTTATTTTTTCCTTTTCTTTTTTTTTTCTCTTCCTTCCAATACTTTCATTCTATTTTAATTTTATTCTTTTTCGTTTGTTCTTTCTTTATTAAACATAATTTGTCATCCAATTTTACCATTTTCTTTCCTTTCTTTCTTTTTCCTTTCGTTCTTTTTCCTTCCTTTCGTTCTTTTTTCCCTTTCGTTCTTTATTCCCTATTTTTTTCGTTTGTTCGTTAAAATGATGTTTAATCCATTTTTATACATCGTTTTTTTTTTTTTTTTTTTTTTCTTTGCTTTCATTCATGTGTACTGTTCTATTGCTCTTCTTTTTCCCTAGGTTAATCTTCCGAGGTTGCTTCTGCACCAGTACTGGCTATATTTGCTCTTCAAACCGAGGCCGGATTATGTAACTCTCACTTCCGCCCGATGTTCATTCCGCCACATCCTCTTTAGCCCTTCCCGCAAGCAATAAAAAGTGTAAACAAAGGCTGATACTTTCGCACTAACTGGCCCTTTCCCGAAGTGAATAGCATTCTTTTGTTCTTTCAATGATTGTCACGATAAGCCGCATTCCTTCTTTTGCCAGATACCACCTGATAGGATGAACAATGGCGAATAATCGCAGGAAATGGTGAAGCGTTCACTTTACGGCTTCTTTCTTTCCAATTGTCTTTCTTCATTTGTAGAGGGCTTTTTGTTTTTGCTTTTTGTACGGGTGTGTGGAGAATTGTTGAATTTCTAACGAGATTTCTTCTCTCGTTTTTCATTCTTGTTGTCTCTCTACTTTTTTTTTTCGTAATCTGGAATTTCTACTCCTTTTTTTATTTGTAGATATATTTGTAAGATTTTCCGTTAAAATTTTTAAGGTTTTCACTGTGAGCAGTACTCCTCACTCTAGCAATAATCCATATATTGAACCTGCTGAATGTAGCGTTAAAGTAAGAATATAAGGCCGTCTGTATTCTGACAAAAAGCTACTTTTATACTGTATGGCAAGAATGAGTAGGCTACTCCAAAATGGCAAACCTTAACATACTGGTAAGATGACGACCTGAATTGAGTGGGGTTGGTTTGAACTCTGTGGCCATGAAATCCGGGCGATGATGTATTTTCTTTCTTTAAGTTTTAATATAAAACACAAAACAGTCGAATACAGTTACAACTGTTTCAGCAATAGACGAGCGAACATGATTTGTTTTCCTAGATTTCTAGGTGTTGTTTCATGGCTTCGGCATAAGTACACAGGTCACCACGTGATATCAAGTAGTTGGCCGACCTGTTGCAATCCGTTTCTTCTATTTACCATTCGCTCTTGATTCCTTCAAGAAACGACGCTTACTATGTCCGCTTTGAAAAAGAAAAGCGGGGAAACCAAACCCGAATAAATTTCTGTTTCTGTTTTAGTCAGTGAGCATCTTTGTAGTCTAGATATGACGATTTGCCGTGAGACTCCAAGAATAAAAGACGATACAAAGTTTACCAAGAAATCACAGTGAAAATCATTCTTAAATCCCTATTCTAAGAGTCAGTAAGCATATCCGTTATGTATTTATTAAGCGAAATCATAAAAAGCAGACGATATCTCCGATGGCGGTAGATTGCGAAACTCACGTGACTTAAGATTCGTGCATTTTTTTTTTTTTTTGCTGTCCACCATTGTCAAAGGCTGCTTGCGAATGGGTGTTAACTCACGTGACTGAAAAGTCATTTTGACTTTTTAGAGGATGAAACATTCCAACAACTGGCCCTGGCTATTGGGAGATGTGTGTATTTTTTATTGTGTCATCATCACTAGATAGCCAACCAAGAATGAAAAGATTTTATCTATCCATTAAATAACCAACAGGTTTAGATTTCTTAGTTGTCATTCTCTTACACTGGTTGCCAACCAAGGCAAGATACCCAAGTCTGCTCTTCTATTTAACCCATATATTGTGGGGGAGAGGAGATGGATTCATATATTTCCTCATGCTATTTTATTTGTGTTTCTCAAATTCATCTAAAATGAAAATATATTCTTCTCTTGTTAAAAATATAATCTCAAGAGACCCTTAATTATGAAGGCATTATGGTGTTTTTAAGAAGTAGCCGAGATTGTTGGGTGGGGGGTATCAAGTCATCTCTACTAGATAGTAGATAGATTAACAAACCAAGGCTGAAGAGATTCTATCTGCACTTTGCCACAATCATCGAAAGCTCACGAAAAGTTTCATTTAAACAATTTTCTTTACAAGTTTTGAGTCAATTCTTGATATGGTTTTCCGGCACTTCCAAACAGTGCCGCTAGTTGCAATCGTATACCCAGGACGATATTACCAAGAAGTCAAATTCTTGACTAATCATCGATGGTGAGATAGTAAACTAGGGTCACAAGGTCAAAATGTTAACGCTATAAACATTGGGCAAAGCACCAGCTAGTAGTTAGCAATAGTCGTTATCCATCGCCTCATAATAATTCTAGGGCTGATACATGTGGCACAAGCATTGATCGATCGGCGTATCATCATCGCCTTCCAGTCATCACGAATATTTGCATTCGCATAGGCATCGACCTTTCTGAATCGTGGCGCGACATATTAACCAAGCAATAATGCGTACAATAATGATCAAATTCACAATGATAGCATTGTCTGCGAGATTTGTTGACTATAGATATTTTAGGGAGTATCTAATCAGTTATTTACCGAGCTAAATTGCAACTGACGGCCGTTTGCACCGCGCAGCGATAACTGAACTTATTATGTGCAATAATCTGTAGGTATAGAGGAATTCTTGTCATTCGTTAGAAGTGTGGGTTCAAAAAGAAAGAATAGTTGCAAGTGAATATTAGTGAGACATAGATTAAAGAGAAGGTAACTGAAGGCGAGGAAATTGGAAAGAAGAGGAGGAAAGTGTATGTAACGTGGTATAGTGGGAAGAAAACGAAGAAGAACAAAAATACGGATAATTTTGCAGCACAGAAAGAAGATGATAAAGAAGAAAAAAAAGATGGCGAAGAAGACGAAAAAAGAAAAGGAGTAAGAAAAAGAAAACGAAAAAATCAAGAAAAACGAGAAGATGAAGAAGAGAGAAAAAAAAAAGAAAATTACGAAAAAGAAAAACACGTATTAGTGTAGTAGAAAGAAGAAAAAGATGATGATAGATAGATGAAAAAAGAAGAAAACCAAAACTTAAAATGAAGAAGAAAATGAAGACGACAAAGAACACGACAAAGAAGTAAAAAAAGAAAAATATGAAAAAGAGAAAAGAAGAAAAAGAAGTACATGAAAAACGAAAAAGAAGAAGAAAAAAAAGTAATATTTAATATTAAAAAAAGCCAAGTTTTATGCTGTATAGTAGAAAGATGACGACGACGAAGAAATATATAATAGACAGAAAAAGAAAAGAGGAAAATAAGAAAGATAATATTGCATAAAAGGAAGAAGAATGAGGCGCAACATGATGCGAAGAAAAAAGAAGAAATAAATACAAGAGAATGAAGGAAAGAAGAGGAAGAAGTAATAGTGTGTCGTAAAATGTATACGAAGGAGAATAAAAGAACTGATAATTTTGCATAGGAGAAGGAAGAAAATGACGAAGAAGAAAAAGAAGAAGACGAAGATCATGAAGAAGACCTGGAATTAGAAAAAGACGAAGAAGTAAAAGAAGAAAAAAGAAGAAGAAAAAAGATGAAGAAGAAAATGAAAAAAATTATGAAGAAGGTAATCTTGTATAGTAGAAAGAAAGAAGAAGAAAAAAACAGACGAGGAAGAAGAGAAAGAAATACAAGGAAAAATGAAGAACGAGAAGAAAAAGAAGACGATGAAAATGAAGAAAAGAAGAAAATGAATAAAAGAAGAAAATTATGAAAAAGATGATGAAGAAAATGAAGATAAAGAAGAAAAGATTAAGAAAAAGAAGAACAAGAAAAAAGAGAGAGAAGAAAAAGAAGAGGAAACAATAAAAAATTAAAGAATAAGATGAAGAAGATAATCTTGTTTAATAGAAGAAAAGAAAAAAAAAAGAACAAGGAAAAGATGAAGAACCAAAAGAAAAAAAAGATGAATAAAACAAAAAAAGAAAAAAAAAATAGATGAATCAACGAAGAAAAATTGATGAAAAAGAATATAAAGAAGAAAAAACAAATAAGAAAAAGATGGGTAATATTTAATATTAGAAAGATGAAGGTTAATGCTGTATTGTAGAAAGATGAAGAAGCAATGTAATGTTGAAAGAAAAAGAAGAGTATTATATGAAAAATAGAAAGAACAAGAAATTGACTCAAGACAATTTTTATTGTTGTAGAGTAGTTTTCACAGTGGATGCTTGTATTTTCGCTAAGTCTGTCCTAACAGGGTTCGACGTACAAAACGTTAGGAACTTGAAATAAGAGTTAATAAGAGTTAATGACGCAGC